ATACTGCACACACACCCTAAATATTTGTGTTAGTTCCAATTACAGCTCGACTCACAGCTGCTCATTATCTATACACGGCTGAAAATCAAGTTAAAATATTTTCAACAAACAACAGTTATACAGAGGAGGGGCTGGAGAGATAGCTCAGATAGCTCAGCAGTTAAGAGCATGGACTGCTCTTGCAGAAGAAGGTTCCCAAAAACCATGTCTGGCAGCTCACAACCACCTGTAACTCCAGCTCCAGGATATAAAATGCCCTCTCCTGACCTCTGTGAGTAACACTATATGCATGTGTTTACATGCATAAATAAAAATAAAGCTTAAATATATGTATACATATATATGTACATACATACATACATACACAGTAGAGAGAGTACTGTGCATTCAAAAATTTGGGGGGGATAAGATGATGATGATGATGATGATGATGATGATGATGATGATGATGGCAAAAATGATGCAAGGAAAGAGTCACTTCTTCCTGACTTTGGAATATAACAGAATGGGAACCCAAGCCATTCTGTCTAGATAGTAGCTTAGAAGCCAGCCACTATGGTCAGCAAAAGTTGTTTTCACAATGCCTCAGTCCCAAAATTCAGAGACAGACCTGATTGGAAAGCTGATCAGAGGGAGCTCAAGACATGACAAATGGAACCTGGAGTTTGGGCTCAGCAGAATCAAGGATCCGCATGCTAGTCTGAGGCCCTGAGACGTGAGAATCTTCTGACCAAATGTGCCCAGCCTTGGACTGTTTCACCAGTCAGTACAAAAGCTCACCATCTGGGACCTGTCCTTGCTTCTGACTTTACGTCAGGAACAAGAACATAGCAGAAATGTGTATGAGGAACATATATGTGACGCGTGTATTCAGAATCTCATAAAGGGTTGTAGAAAATCTGAAGCTTGTTCTAGAATAAACTGCTAGAGCCACATTCTAGGACAGATTCCAAAGCCACAGTTCCAGGTAACATGCAGAAAGTAGGACAGTGTGGCTCCTATCTCCCAGAAGCCGCGTGGCCTAGAAAACTGCAAAACGTCAGTTTCTCAAACTGCTTGGTCAGGAATATGCTGTCTTCACTGTAATACCTCAAATATTACACAGTGCCTTTAAAATGACAAGATCTGGGCTGGTGAAACAGCTCAGTGGGTAAAGGCACTTTCTGTCCAAATCTGGCGACCTGAGTTCAATCCCTGGAACCCATACAAAGGTGGACAGGGAGATACAACTGGACAAACTGGAAAACCCCCCAACACACCATACACACACAGACATCATCATCATCATCACCATCATCACCAATTAAAATGTAAAAAAATGAATGGAATTAAATGGTTTTATAGTAAAAGAGAACAACTTACCCATAGAATATTCAAGAAGATACCATTGATTTTTAGCAAAATCAGCAAAGATTTTAAATGATCCGTATGGTTTGACAGAAATGTACATTTTCATATCTTGCTGCTTGGAAGGAAATTCTGGAGGGATGCAGTTACCAGGGTTACAGACCAGTACCTAGCGTCACACACTACAGTGTGGCGAACAAAACAGACATATATCTGCCCTGTGCAGTTTCCAAGCCCCAAATACCTTAAAAAAACCTTCCTACTCTTTGATCAAATAGTTCAACTTCCAAAAAGGAAGTAGTCACAAATTTGAAGAGACAATTAGAAAGAAAAATGTTCACTTTAAAAGTGAAAATAAGCTAACTACTGAGACCTAAAGAAACAGCCAAATAATCATCAACCTATTCACAGAACATTGAATTATTGCCAAAATTCTATTAAAGGAGTTCTGTAGCACAAGACATATTATTAAATAATAATTAGGCCCAACAGATTATATGATTAAGTCTGTTTAGTGTCAACATTTCCATAAAGTTGTAAAACATACACACATGGGGTTTACTTCTGAATGATGGATTGTAAATTATTTAATTTACCACTTTCTACATTAGTGTAGTCTCTTGAGAGCATCTATAACTATGTGTTACCCAAATATAGAAAAATTAATTTTTAATTTTATTTATTTGTTTTTAGATAGAGTCTCCCATAGCTCCAACCAGCCTAGAACTCACTATATAGACCAGGCTCACCTCAGTCTCACAGAGATCTTCCTGTCTCTGCCTCCAGGAAATTAATTTTTAAAGTAAATAATATAGTAAATTGTCTCTATCTCTGGAAAGACATTGCCTGATCTGCCAGTGATGTTAAAAATTTTCCTGTAGTTTTAAAAATGAAACACCTTCCTGAATTCCAGCTCCAATCTTACTGCTGTTGCCCCTCTGATTTGTGCAGTCACCACTGAGAATTAGGTCTGTGGAGCCTGTATGGGAACCCTGGTTCTTAGCAGCCTGCCCATGAATGGTGCTGTGCAAATGCACTTCAGTGAAACACAAGAATTCATTTCAGCCACCTTCAGGCTATAATCTCCCTGCCTTCAGGGTAGGCTGTGACAGTTCATGATTGTCAAATTCCAGCATCAGAGTCCCAGCCTAGAAACCTGAGGACCTCAACGGTAGATAGAATGAGAAAGAATGCTCTATTCCAAGCACAACAGGATATTAGGAAAGATGTGTCCGAAGTTGCTGCTGTGGGCAAGATGCATCAAGTGCTTTCAAAGTTATTTCTGACTCAGTATGCCTGAGTCAGTATTTCCATTTCTAGAAATGTGCTCTAAAGAAATAAATCAAAACTGTGAACAAAACTTATATTCTGGAGCAGTGGTTCAATGGTTGTTTTCTCCAATTGATTGTGTTGTGACAAAAGAAATATGTCCATTGTAATGAGTAAAATAATCCAGACACCCACCTTCCTTCCTTCCTTCCTTCCTTCCTTCCTTCCTTCCTTCCTTCCTCACTCCCTCCCTCCCTCTCTTTTCTTTCTTTCTTTTGCCATTTATTCATCTGTTTATGTTGCATGTGTATCTGGTATATGTTTACATGTGTGTGGGTACACATACATGTGTGCACATGTGTGATGCATAGATGATGAGGCTGGGCTGAAGGGTATCTTTCTCTCCCATCACCTTATTTTAGCAAATGCTATCAAGACTGTGTGTTTACTTTGCCATTGTTAAATGTTTAAGTTTCTATGCATCGATATTGCAAGGTTGTTTGAGAGAGGCTCTCAATGTAGCCAAGGCTGGCCTTGAACTTGTGATCCTTCTGCCCACATCTCCCTCAAGATCCTCTTACTCTTGCTTCCCAAGCACTGGGATTACAGGTGTGAGCTCTGGTGCCCAACTTTCTCAGGTTTAAAACTTCAGGGGAACAAAGAATATATTGTAAAGATGAGGAGAGAATATGATATCCATGTGTGAAAAGGTCAGAATGAAACCATTTTACATGCTAACTAAAAATTTAATACTAAAAATATTTTAAATACATTCAAAACATAAGAGATCTCTGTATTTCTGTTTGACAGGAGGGGACCACATCACTTCCTGTTCCTTTCCACATCACTTCCCGTTCTTTTCCACATCACTTCCTGTCCCTTTCCACATCACTTCCTGTCCCTTTCCACATCACTTCCTGTTCTTTTCCACATCACTTCCTGTTCCTTTCATTTTTTTTTTTTCCTTCACTCTCACCAGCTTTGGAGAGAGGGATTTTGCCTTTTAAATGCTATAGTTTAGAAAATCTTTTCAGTGTTTTCGAAATGTAGGATTGTATGTGTGTGTGTGCACACATGTGCCCATGCACAAAGAAGCACGTGTTTGTGGTGATACAGTTGTTTGCAGATGCACACATACCTGTGGGAACGAGAAAACAACCTTGGGTTTTGTTCCTCAGGTGATGCCCACTGTGTTTTTGCAGGTCAGGTCTCTCACTGGGATCTGGGCTCACCAATTCAGTTATGCTGGCTGGCCAGTGAGCCCTGGGTATCCACCTGTCTCTGCCTCCCCAGTGCTGGGATTACAGGTCTGTGCCTCCATGCCTGGCTTTAAATGTAGGTTCAAACAGGCACATTACTGTCTGAGATGGATCACTAGCCCTGCTCTTGTTTTTCTTCCTAACTTTCTGCTATAGGAGTATATTTCACATTAATATGGCCAGCTCCCCAACTTGAAAAGGTTTCTAATGCCAGATAACTGACCCACCTCTTGGCGGGTTAGATGGATTATTTTTTTCTTTCTGGACTAGTGTTAGTTACTTTTTTGTTGCTGTAACAAAATGCCCAACAAAAAGAGCATAAGGAGGAAAGACTGATTTGGGTTCATGGTTTTGGGGGGCACCAGCGCACCACAGCAGGGAAAGGCATGTGGGGTTTATTGGCTGTGTAGCAGAGACCCCTCACACCATAGCAAGGCCAGGCAGGAAGCAGAGGGCAGGCACACTCAGACAACCTCACTGAAAAGGAACACACTGTCCCTAAGCTAGAGGAGGAAGCCAGAAGGAAAAGACACCTTAGAAGAAACTGGCGAAACAAAACCCTGGCACAGGAGTAGCGTCCACAGAAAGTACAAACAAAGGTCAAAAACTCCAGCTAGAGTTCAGGCAGAATATGAAACGGGAAAAAGAACAATGGAATCCTTAAACTTCTGCGGAAGGCCAGGAATAGGTTTAAAAAGACAAGATTTTTAAAAAATGATGGGTGCTAAGCTGTATACAAGGGTGCTGACAAGCATTAACTCATCTCAGAAAGGTGGTTCTAACTTTTATCTACAATATAGTTTTGCCTTTCAATAGCCAGGACATTACTGCCATTGTACAAAATTCCACAGCTTTCATGAAAGATAGAAGCATAAAATTGTCATAGAATGATTCAGTGGCACTAAGGAAAGAGGTCTTCATACATGAGTAAACCAGTAGAGCCAGGTTTGAGTATTTGAGTTTTGAAACATGGCTTGCTTTATCTCGATTCTGTTGTGTGCAGAGACCCTGATCACCATGTTCTTTATATGGATGTGTCAGAACAGGAAGGACCTGGGTGGACATCAAAGGACAGAGCACAGGGACGCGTTTACAGAATTTCCAAAACGACACACTCCTTCTCACCTTGGAAGACCGGAAGGCAAACGCTGTCGATTTTACATCAGCTTTTTCTTTGTCCATAAGTACAAGGTTTTTGTCTTCCATGAGGCTCAAGTACTTTCCTGTGGTGACGTGCCGGAGTCGGAACGGCTGGCCCCATCTTATATGGCTCCCGCTCCACCTGACGAAAGCAACAGGGACTTGACCCAGTGGCATTAGCAGCAGAGATGCAACAATCACTATCTATGAACCTGACTAGATGAACACACACATACACACACATACTATATATACATATATGCTCTGTGTGTGCATGTGTGTGTGTATGTGTGTGTGTGTGTCCATACATCTCCGAATAAGATGCTAAAGGAGGAGACAGACTGAAGCAGCTGGAGAGAAAACTCATAGCTTTTATGATACTTTGAAGTAGTTCAAAGAATTTACAGACAAGAGGCTTTAAATACGTAGATTTACTTCCTTTATTTTATATACTGTAAAAGTGAAATTAATTATATTTATGCAGATGCACATCCAAGAAGATTTCGTTTTTGAACCCATTAATTATGTTTTAATATTTAGGTAAATTTGATCAACTGTATATACATATCAAAGAAAATGAATATTTTTAATTATTGCTAATTATAGGAATACAGGAGCTTTGATGTTATAGGGAAACAGAAAATAGAAAAGTGTTCATAAATATTTTGTTGCTGAGGTGTATGAAAGAGTAGAAGGAAATCTGGTCAATCACAAAAACAGACCCATTCAAATAAAACTCTGTCCTGACAGAGAAGAAAGACAATGTGTGATAACAAGAATGAATACACGTTCTTTATCACCCAAAAAGTACAGCGCTCTGAAATAAACAGAGGTGCTATTAACCTATGGCAGTATTTATTATTATTAGCTGCATAGTTAGAAAACAGCAATGTAACCACTCTAGAATGTCATTCCCTTAAGACTGGAAGCTATTTTCTATGCATCTCTTTAAACTGATGATGATAAAATTATTCAAAGCTGTACAAAGTCCTTCAAAATGACTGTATGAGATATCTGAATAAAACAAACTGAAGGCTACTAAATTATTTCTTTTAACTATATGAATAACTCACATAAAGAAAATCTATGAGGACATCTAATCTTCTAAGATGCCCCCCTGCCCCACCACAGAATCTGTAATCCTACATCCATAACTTCCTTCAAGTATAAAATGATAGTGAAAAAAATATTGACAAATTAGTGATTTTTTTTTTTGGTCTTTTTGAGACAGGGTCTCCCTGTAGCCCCAGCTGTCTTGGAACTCACTATGGAGACCAAGCTGGCCTTGAACTCACGGAGATCCCCTGCCTCTGCCTCCCGCGTGCTGGGATTAAAGGCATACGCCACCACGCCCGGCTAATTTAGTGATTTTTAAACAACCTTCCAGTTGTTTTTTAAATCTGGCTAATATTTCAGTTCTGTCTGAAACAGTTTAAAACTGTACCTTTATCATTGACACTGCATTCATTTAAAGGAACTAAAAGGCAATCTTCAGATAACTTTCAAAGTTTTCGGAAATATGTGTTTATCTAACTTCTTACTACTATAATGAATCTACTGTGACTTTTGCCGCCATCCAGATTTCATAATCTACGATCAGGTTATCTATAAGTAAAGTCTGTGACCTCTGTGAATGATTGCTTTCAGATTCACATACACCTGTAGACGTTTTACTTCACAGTCCTTCTAATCTGAAGTGATCACCTTCACAGACAACTTGTCCTGTTTTCCAGATCTGACATCATTTAGCACTTTCTGCCAGGAGATGTAGGGTATAGGATGAGATGTTATCAAAGATAAAGTCAGGCTGTGTGAAATTACTGTATGATTTGCAGGTCTAGCACTTCCTGATTCAAGACAGACAGAGGAGGCAGAGAGAGGTAAGAGAAGAGAGAAGCTGGACACCAAGATCTGCCTGTTGGCTCACTGCTGGAGTCGTTAACAGGACCAGCTCACCCTGAATGTCAAAGTCACTGAGCACTCTGTGTCCTTGGAGCCATAGGCTAAGTTTAGAAGCTCTACTTACGCGACTCGCAGTGTCTCTAATCTCCACAGGGAGCGTGCGTGAATGGATACGGCACCACCTTCGTAATGAACCGTTCTGCCAACACACAAAAAGCCCAAGTTTGAGTTTAGCAGGTCTCGTTCTTTGGATTCTACCCTTCAAACAGATTAGAAGGAAACAGGATGGGACAACTAGTGGATGAGCAACTCCAAATCCTTCTGTGGGGCAGAGGAGCACACAGCTGGGACCAGAAGCGACAGTGACAGTGATCAACATACACTCCTTCTCAGTAAGCATGTATTCATTTTTAAAGACTTAAATAGTGTATTTATGTGTGTGGGGAGGTATGCACATGAGTGCAGGTGCCCCCAGAGTCCAGAAGAGGGCATCAGAGCCCCTGATGTAGGTTACAGACTGTTATGGGCTGCCCAGTGTGGGTGTTGGGAACCAAACCCAGGTCCCCTGGAAAAGCAGCCAATGCTTTCAACCCCTGAGCCATCTCTCCAGCCCCATAAAAATTTACTTAGATATATTTCTCACCATCATTTACTGTTATGAATGTCTTTCTCCATAACCTCCCACTGCAGGACAGACTGCTATGTTTCTCTTCCAACTTTTTTCTGTGAAAGTCCATGCTTATCAGTTTAGGTGTGGTTTCATGTTATTACTTACATATGTGCAGATCATTCTTCACAGCTCTAAGCTCCGTTTTCAACATTGGAAACATTTCAAAGAAATGTAAGAACACCGATTCTTAGTATTTTAATACAACCATCTGCAATTTATACAATTGGGCAGTTATGTCAAAATATAAACAGGTAAGCCTGGAGAGGTGGCTCAGAAGTTACAAGCACTTGCTTCTCCCTTAGAGGGCTCAAGGTCAGATCCAGCACCCATGTTTGGAGGTTCACAACTGCATGCAACACCAGCTACGGAGCATCCATTTTCCTTTTCTGGCCTCTGCAGGCACCCGTACACACAAACATGCATGCACACACACACAAATAGAAATAAAATCATATACATGCAAACAAAATTCACAAAAGATACTTTTCTGTATATATATATATATATATATATATATATATATATATATATATATATATCCATGTACTGAAATTCCAAAACTCCCCTAATAATTAAAGATGCCAAACAGTATGTGTCAATCCCTTGACATGGTTTTAAGGAAACCAAGAGTTATGGATACAGCACATCTTTTCCCAAGGATTCAGCATCCTCTAGAGGATTGTGTTCATCATCTAAACACTCAGGAGTGTTCTGTCTCAAATATAACACCATAGCTCTGCCTGCATCACCTCACCTGCCTCTCTCTGACTCAACACTGCCCCATCGGGGCTCATGTATTCTCGTCTTCTTTCTGAACCTGCTTCTTGGCTGAAACAGATTTTGCTATGGTCATCCAATAACCTTCTGGTCACAAAAGCCAAAAGGGCTTTAAAAGAAAACACCGGAAACTTACTCCTGGCAGTTTTTGTGATACCATGGCTGCCTCGCTTCTCCTCCGCTTTAGATGGCCCTTATCATTTTATCTTTGTTGTAGAACTTCTCAAATATACACAGAAGTTGATTAAAGTAAGTCCAGGTACACCCAACACAAAGCTTCATCAAGAATTATCAACATAGGAGCAACCTGGCTTAGACCCTCTAATTACCCCACACACACCTGCAAAAGTATTATTTGATATGAATACGATGTACCCAGGGTTCTAGATTGCTTTCCATTGCTATGATAAACACCCTGACCAAAAGCAACTTGGGGCGGAAAGCATTTATTTGGCTTACGTGTCCCAATCACAGTCCCTCAGTGAGGGAAGCCGGGGCGGGAACTCCAGGTAGGAACCTGGAGGCAGAAGCAGAGGCCATTGAGGGGCGCTGGTCACTGGCTTGCTTCCCTGGCCTGGGCTCAGCCTGCTTTCTTCTACAGCTCTGGACCACGTGCCCAGGAGTGGTACCACCCACAGTGAGCCTCAAAGACATGATCATAGGCCAATCTGATAGAGGAAATTCCCCAGCTGAGGGTCCCTCTTCCCAGATGCCTCAAACTGACAAGTAAAGCCAACTGTGATATCCAGTCACTGTTTAAATTCCCTATGTTGTTTTTGACTCTTTTCTCCAACTTTTTATGCAGATCCAGATGAGATGCACATCCTGGTTGCCTTTTGCCTCTTAGTTCTGGAGCATCCATCACTTACTCTTTTCTTTTTCCTTCTCCCTTGACATTTATTTCATGAAAAAAAATCCATTCCATTTTTCTCACAGTACTTTCTATATTCTGGATTTTTCTACCTATATCCCCACGGTGTTCTTTTTACCTTGTTTTTCAAGATTTATTCTATTTTTATTTATGTGTATGTGTGTGTCTGTGTGTGGGGATGCACACGTGCATAAATGTGAAGAAACTAAATCCTGATTCCTGTCTGAAATCTTTGAGCTTTGTTCTAAAAATTCTTCTTCACTGAAGTATTTCTCTTTATTTTTCAAGTAGGTATGGGGTGCCCAGGATCTCTCATTAGTGACCGGGGCATCTTGGCTATTTTATTGGATTTGCCCATATAAACACATGGCATGTGTGGGAATTTAATCGTTATCCAAACAAATTTCCATGGGCTATTTCAGACTAAAAGTTGGCACACAATATCAAAACCCTAAGTGGAACAAGGATGTCAGTCCATCCTGAACAATGCAAGGACCATCAAGCTTAAGTAAAAACCTGGAGAAATGTATGTGTTCTACGAAGGGAGGGCCACTTCTGCCTGCCCTGTATCTCAGTTATCAAAGCGGCAATATTTTAATAGATTGACAAGTTTACCAAATGGTATTAACACCTTTAAACTCAGACAACCAAATTATTATCTCAGGGTAATCATCCTTTCCAAGAAGAAGCCCAATAAGGCAAAGTCTTCTTTAAGAAGCTAAGCAGGCTTACACAACACCAGCCTCAAAGCTGGTCACTGGGGACCTCAGTACAGTGGCATCAATGATGTAAAAATTCAAGGATGATGAGTGGATGTGAAAATATATAGATAGTTCCCTGTCCAATGGAGGCTATTTTTACAGTGTGTTATAAAACCATTACCACAGCTACTGAGAAAAAAAGAAAACATGCTAAAACCCTGTGATAATAATCAGGCGTAGTAGCGCATCCCTTTAAACCCAGCCCTCAGGAGGCAGAGGCAGGTGGATCTCTGAGTTCAAGGTCAGCCTGGTCTACTACATAGTGAGTTCCAGGCCAGCTGGGGCTACAGGAAAAACCTGTCTCACAAGGACCAAAAGTCAAAATAAAACAAAACAAAACAAAACAAAACAAAAAACTAGTGATAATATTTCTAACCAAAGCAATTATTGCTTTGCAGTACTGAGAATGGAACCCAAGGCTTTACACACACTAGTCAAACATTCTACCACTGAGCTAAATCCCTAGACCTCTTTTTACTTTTTTGGCTTGCAACAGGCCTCACTAAATTGCCTGGACTGACACTGTATCCAGTCTCCAATCCAGACTGGTCTTGAACTTGAGATTTTCCTGCCACGGCCTCCTGGGTGGTTGGGATGATCTGGCTCTAAACAATTATTTTTTAAACTTTCACTTTATAAATCAGAAAGGTTGAATCCACTGCTATTTCACTGAACAGGAATATTTTTATGCACATATAATGGCCAGTACTATGAGTTCATTCAACCATACTTTGAAAAATCCAAGACTTCCGGCTGTAAGTCACACATCTGCAACACATAATCCTCCAATCTGATACCCTTCATTAGGAACTCATATTTCAGGTCGACCATGTAAAAGGATCTTTAACGTTATTCTTTCATCAGCACAAATTCTTCCCACAATGCCATCAATCCAGTTTCTCATAGCTATTATAATATTGTCTACCAAAATATAAGCAGTAAGCTATTTTTGTGCTGAAGGTTATAAAATACCATTTAAATCTTATCTCAATTGTTGAACCACTGGTTTTTGTAGTAAAAAGCAGGCACTTTGACAGCTAGAGTATTCATCTTCAGAATCTCAAGCCCAGAAAAGACTACATTAGCATGCTGATGAGACCACAAATCTTTACAAGCCTCTCGCCACCTGACACCATGGTATTTATTCATAATAAAATTTTATAGGATATACAACTCCAATTAATGGGCTTTACTACAGGATCATAAAACATCATTAATAACAGACTGAGTGTGATGAAGAGATCCCTGCAGGCTGCAAGGGCAAGTTCTAGCCCAAGGCACCGCCTCCAAATGACGTCACAGCTATGACCTCACTTTTTTTCTTTCAGGGAACCAAGAAGTTGGCAAGTGATTTCATATTTCATTGTCATTAACTTTCTGAAGACATTACATCATTGTGTACAATTGAGCAAGTTCCTAAACTCCGTGCTTCTATTTAATTTTTTTATGTGTATGAGTGTATTGCCTGCATGTGTGTAAGTACACCTGTGTCATGCAATGCCCTCAGAGATCAGAAGAGGATGTTGGATCCCCTGGAACTGGATTTAGAACAGTTGTGAGCTGCCATGTGGGTGCTGGAACTGAACCCAGGTCCTCTGCAAGAGCAGCCAGTGCTCTTAACTGCTGAACCATCTCTCTAGCCCCTGCGCTTCTATTATATTGTACAAAATGCACAAAAAAAGACCCTTATTTTGCGTTTCTTCCTGGCATCTCATTCTCATTCTATTTTTTAAAGATTATTTTATTTTTATTAATGTATAAGTGTGTGTGTGTGTGTCTGTGAGTGTGTGTCTGTGTATGGGTGTGCACACAAGTGCCTAGAGTATTACAAGTGATTGTAAGTCTCACAGTCTGGGTGCTGGGAGATGAACTTGGGTCCTCTGCAAGAGCAGCAAAAGCTCTTAACTACTGAGCCATCTCTCTAGCCTTTGCCTTTATTTCTTCAATCATAAAGTGAAATTTCATTCATTGAGCTACTGTGAGAATGTAAAGAATGACATAACACATCTAGGCCTGTGGGAAGCATCCTCATACACTTCACGTTGCCTCTGAGTGCTCATGCGACAACACTGAGGGGCTTGTAGTCAGTCCTTCCATACTGGAGGCAAGCCTTCCATCAT